CAGCTTTCATATCCTGCGTATCTAAAACCTTAGCTTCTGTCCTCCAGATTGGAAATTACATTGTGCATCTCACCCCCAGAGTTCAGAACAGGTGAAAAGGATGAACAGAACTATTAAGGAAACTTTGACCAAGTTAATAACAGAGACTGACGGTAACTGGTAAGGAACAGTATAAGTCCTCTTCCTTTTGCCCTTTACAGGGCTTATACTGAGTTCAGTATTTCATAACTGTATTATTTCAACAGCGAACCTAAAAATTTTATAGCTACTTTTAAAAGAGATGTATCTTTGCTCTGGAAACTGTTATTGAATATGTTAAAGCTGTAATGAAATGCTTCTTCTAAAAAAAAAAAAAAAAGCCAGATGTATTCCTTACGTAAAAGGAATTATTCCCTTTGAGATCTTGTTTGGGTGACCTCCACCCCTTACTTCCCACTTACGGGAGGAACACCTGGCAGAAATATCTAATTACAGCCTTTTACAGTCATTGCAGGCTCTGCAAAATGCTCTGAGCCAGGTACACAGACTAGTGCAGGAGGCTCATGAGCCCAGTCATCCCCCACTAACCACTGAACAGACAGATCTGGAACCTGGGGATTGGATTTGAGTCCACAGACATCAAGCACCTAACCTCGAACCCAATCATCTTGCTACTCCAACTGCTGTTAAAGTTGCCGGACATGCCCACTGTATTCACCATTGCCAAGTTAAGAGAGCTCATCCGGACCACATTCCTCAAACATGGAAGGTAAAAAAAACAGACAATCCTCTCAAAGTAAAACTGATAAAAGAATCTTAATTCTTATGTTCTCCTTCTGGATAATAAAAACTGTAACTAGGTACAATGACTGAAATACCCATGAGCCATCCTCTGATTAATTAGGTATTAAAAAGAACTTCAGATGGTAAGATCTTAGCCACTCCCCCAGCCTTCTGTTTGGCCTTTGTGATCTGTTTTCTTTACAAGAGTAACTATTTGTGTCCCATCTCCTTTACCCTGGGGATATGTAACTCCTAGTCTTGAGAAACAACTGCAAAGCCTACAAGTTTATGGATGCCCAGCAGATGGGAGTCCAGACTGTAACCATGAAACTGAATGGCATTATGGAACTTGGGATTATGAGATATTTGCTTCCTGGACTGGATCAAAGGATAAATGGATTTCCTTTCAGCATGGCACTCCTGGTATAACTATGGAAAACTTAACTTACTCCCTTGATTCTTTAGCTTGTTACAAAACTGTCGATGGCTAGATCTTGTTTTTATGCAACAAGGAGGATTATGCATGGCACTGGGTGAAAAATGTTGCTTCTATGCTAACCATACTGGAGTGATTAGAGAGAGTATTATATTAGTCCAGCAACAAATTAATACTTGAGAAAGGGATCTCAGTAATCACCAAAACTGGTATGAGTCCTTATTTTCCTGGTCACCCTGGCTGACCACCTTGTTAAGTGCTGTTGCTGGGCCTGTGAG